ACTTATACTCACCCCAAAGACTGGCCACTGATTCCATTGTCTCTAAAGAGAAGGTGAGCATCTTGCCAAAAATACACTTGCCTTAAGCGAAGCCCATTAGGGAAAGAAGTTAAGAGCCCCCCTCATCTCAGGCTTCCAGGAGTGTTCGTGTTTGCTCATGAGAATTGCTGCTGGCTCGAACATCAGGCAGGAAGGAACCTCGATGGCTGTGCTCTCGCAAATGGCAAGTCAAAGCTCTCTTTTAAAGAATTTACTTTTTAAAAAATCAACATATTTTCATCCAAATGAGCAAACACATTTTTGTGTGTCAGGACAAACACTGGTTATTCATAATCTGATGTGAATGAGCTGAGCTGTAATTTGAGAAATTGCCTATGTGGAAATGACTGCATAGAAATCATCTTTTCTTCTAAAAACATGAGCAGCAACTACTAGCCTATTTCACAGCTGGAGATTTTAAGACGCTGAGATCAAACAGCTGGCTCACGATCACGATGTGGCCCCAAAGGCAAGGAGAATGTCTGTCTCTCCCACTCCTTTAATGTCTTCTACTTCCTTTTGAATCCATTCAAAAAGGGAAGGAAACCTCATTTTTTGCATAGTGAGCTATTTTTCACCATGCATTCTTCTTAGCAATTCATCTATACAAACATAGCAAAATCATTTCCTACTATTAGTGTTCTGAACTGAACGTGGAACTACTCTCTACATGCAGTAACGAGATTCAGCAGTAATTCTATAAATTCTAAACCATCCTTTTGGGCAGAGGATTTGCCACTGTATCAAGTGGCCCAAAAGGTATTAGACTGACAGTTAAGAAGGATACTTAAGCAAGACATTATTTTGCGTCAGCCATGAGAAACAGTAGCTCAACCTAAAATTTTTCAGACAGCTTGCTTTCTATGCCATCTGCCAATTCAACTGTTTCAGAAAGGTCATTTTAAAAAAAATGAGGGGGAGGTAATTAGGTGTATGTATTTATTTATTTTGATGGAGGTACTGGGGATGAAACCCAGGACTTCATGCATGGTGGGCAAGCTCTCTACCACTAAGCTATGCCCTCTCCCCTAGAAAGATCATTTTTAAATGCCCAGGATGAGACTGTTATGACATGTGATCACAAGGAGGCCTGTGTGTGCTCCCGTTTTCTGTAATAAGCCCCGATCAAAAAGCTCTGGAATACAAATGAGATTCTGCATTGAGAAGCAGAAGGACATGGCAGGAGGTACGGGATGAGCAGTGCCTACATATCAGCCCACCGAGCGCGGTGCCAGGTGGTTGGTACCTGCCCACTGGAAGGTGGTTGATTATTATCAGCCCTCAGTTACAGATTCAGAACGGGGAGCTCAGAGAGTCTGCACAGCCTGCCTAAGGTTTCACAGCTGGTGGGGCTGCCAGAGTCCCGAACCGGTTTGTTGATTGTGTTCTGTCCTCTCCTCCCGGACAGCCTCGCCGGGCACTGCGACTCTGCCGACTACTGATGGGGACGCTCCTCTGTAAGGAAGATCTGAAGCTCACTGTCAGCCCTTCAGGGTTGCCCAGTGAAGCGGCAACTGGATGTGATCTCAGAAGAGCTGGATTTGGGTTCTAGCTGTGATGTGCCCCTTGTGCTGATCACGAACATCGCCAGAAAGTGGAAATGATCACATGCCACTGCAGTTGTAAGAGTCATCCTCATGAAAATTAGATCACTTACTAACAAAAGTCAGGGTAGCCAAGAGTGCAGGGCCTCAAGGAGAAATACTGCTTAGTATGAGACAATCTCAGGGAGCCCCTTTCTACCGCTCACTGCCGATGGAGACCGTCACGCTAGCCAGTCCAGCATCCTCGGGTGTAATTTCAAGGAAACAGCTCACTGGGAGCAAAAGCATGAGTGTGCACACGCACCGCCCTGTGAGGCAGGCTGCCTGGATGCACCATGTGAGTCAGGTAATGAGTGAAATGTGTAAGATAATGTTCCCCCATCCCCAAGGGATACTGTGAGGATAAAACGTTCAGTGCAACAGAAGTCGGTTATTATAACCTGTCAAAATGAGCACTTGAGGCCAAACAATTAAATACTCAATATGATCAGAATAACTTTTAGAAGTTACAGCACATCAACACAATGCCACATTACATAATGGTTACTATTCACTACGTAACAAAAAAAGCGAAAACGTTCCTAAGGCATTATATTAAAATACCACAAATCGGCATGTACTCACTGATATTCTTTCCAGAATTTTAAAAGGTTTCACAATTTCCTCAATTTTCATCTTAATATAATTACAAAATGTTTTGAGAGAGCATGCGGTTTGCAGCTCCTCTCAAGAGAACGTTTGACTCAGAGATGTGTAACCTGTGATTCTGCTTAAAATAAAAGGAACACTGTGGATTGCAAGTTATTATTTAATGTGTACCTGCGCCACCTATAATTTACTCATTAAATTACTATAATTTTTTAATTAAAAAAGGAAAAGAATTCAAAATACAGATATGATAGACTATAAAAGAAAGGCATATGATTAACAGTAAGCAAATAAACCAAAAGGACCCAAGCATAACACAGCAAAGAAATACAAGGATCCCCAACTAGGAAAACAAAGTCTGGCTGAAAACGAAGCTCTGTCTAAGACTGCTGCTTCTACTTCTCAATTGTTTCTTTCAATCCAAGAGTATTTATCGAGAGCCTGCTTTGTGCCACATTGGGCACTGTTTCAGGTGCTCAGGACTCAAAAGATGACAAGAAAATTCTGAGCCTTATGGAGCTTACAGTGTGGGGTAAAAAAACACACAAGTAAATACATAAAATGTTAAATGCTGGTACGTACTAAAGAAAAAATAAATAAAGCAGGGGAAGGTGGCAGAAATGGATGGGAATGGTGTAGGGGGGTGGATTTTATAACTTGTAATAAGGTGGACAAGGAGATCTCCATGAGAAGGTGAGAGTCCTCAGAAAGAAGTCAGGAAGTAAGCACTGCAGATACCTGGGGGGAAAGCTTCCCAAGGCAAGAAAAGCCAGTGCAAAGGCCCTGAGGCAGAATCACACAGGGCATGGATGAGAAGCAGCAAGGAAAACATGTGAGTGGAGGGGAGGAATTCAAAGAAGTAGGAGGAGGCCAGATTCTGTGGGCTTCACATCTCAGGATTCAGTCCAGAAATAGAATTAATATTTCGTACTAAGGTAAATGCACTGAGTTTTGTTTAGGTTAGGATGTTGGCTAAAATGTTAAACTGGATGAGTGGAAGAAGGTCAGTCAAGAGATACAAGGCACCGACCCCAGTAACAAATAAGAAAAAGGTATAAACATTGCAAGGTTAAGGGAAATTCAGGAACCAGAGAAACAGTCCAACATCATGTTCAAATTTATTATGTTGACTTCATGATGATATTAGGTATTTTGTTTCATTCCAAACTTTAGTATCCTGTTCCACTGCTTCCTCTCCATCGTATAAAAGAAAAGCTCTCCTTTAGTGAATAGACTATAGAGGCTGCCATCCAACTAGGGCTCTGGTGCAGGGTTTCTTCTCAGCCCTGGTACATGGGTATTTTGGCCCAGGTAATTCTTTATTTTGGAGGCTGTCCTGTGTATTATAGGATGCTTAAAGCATCTCTGGGTTCTATGCACTAGATTCCAGTAGCAACCTTACCCCCAATCCCAGCTATAATGCCCCAAATAACCAAAAATGTCTCCAGACATGGACAAATGTTGCTGGAGTATGGGGCAAAAGCGTGCCTGCTGGAGGATCACTGCTCTAATGTGAATAGATAAAAACATCATCTCAGTTTATTAACTTTTTTTTTAACCCAATGGGTTGATCCTAAGGCATACATCTCTTCCTAACTTCTAAACATACCCAAAGCCATGTGCTCCATATTTACGGTTTAGAAAGGACTTAACTCCTTAGATTCCGCAAACACCTTCTTGCCTCAGGGCCTTTGCATGGCTGCTCCCTCTACTGAATGCTTGTCCCAGGCAACTCCTACTTGTCCCTCAAGTCCTGTGAAAGCCTCAACTGTTAAGCCCCCTGGGAAGTTTTTCCCTAACCTGGAGCATGGGCACATTAGGTATTCCCATTATGCTCTCACAGTACTGGTACTGAGACTGTCACAACGATCACAATTGCAATTAAAACAATTATTTTGGCCATTATTATGTTTTGTCTCCTCCATTTCAGCAGGAACGTTATTGGGGGGGTGAGGAGTACAGCTCAGTGGTAAAGCGCATGCTTGGCGTGCACGAGGTCCTGGGCTCGATCCCCAGTGCCTCTGTTAAGGGAGGAAGAAAAGAAAAAAGAAAAAAAGAACCCTATCGATCTTGGCTCATTTGTCTCCAGAGCACTAAAAGAATCACTGAGGACTCAAATTTATATAAAAAAAGCCTATCACTGGCCAACATTGGTATTTGATGACTAACAAATTATTATGCACCTCACACGCGATCCAAGTACTGTGATACAGGTGACGGCTTAATGCTAAATCTCTTAGGGAAAAATCTTGACTGTGAATACACTTTACTTGAGTGTACATTTTTCTCTTCTGTTAACAATAAAAGCTATGAAAAGATTGTAATGATGCCCAGAGGAACAAAAAGGCCCTCTTCATTAGATGGCAATGAACAAACCCCAGGCTGGAGTGGATGTAACTGAGGTCATCTTTCTGGCTCTTTTGAACTCCTTGTAAGTATGTGTTTTAATACAATTTATTCCGCACAGTGTATACTGTATCATATTGGTTACTCTCGTATGCCTGAGAGATATAAATATAAATTCCTCGAAGGAGTTAGTAGTCTGGGATCCCCCGAGGAGCTTCAGAGTGTCTGAGGGACCCTGTAAATCATACGTAAAGACCTAGAAACATTTTCCAGGAACAGGGTCCATCGTGTGTATACAATTCTTGGAGGTGGCAACTTTTAAGACCCACCATCTTACATGATTGCATTTACTTTTAAAGCTTCTAGGGATAGTTCCATCATCTTTGATCCACCTCTTAGGATGAAAAAGCAAATTTTCATTACCGATTTCCTCTCCTGCTTCAGCTCCTGGACGTAGCGTGCTAACTCCACGGTGATCTGGGAGGTCATGTTCTCGGAGATAACCTCGTGCTGCCCGGCATAGTCATTCATCTCGTTCAGGGTGGAAAGGAAGGCTTTACATGCCGTGTACCTGTGGGGAAGAAGGCGCACACCACGCCTTTTCAAACAAGGCACGTCGTCCTCCCTAACGCTGCTTCCCGCCAGCGAAACAGTAATTAAAGTCAGCTTAATTTGCATCCACCTCCCAAAGGGTCCTGACAATTCATTACCCATAAGAGTCTTGTCCTCAAAATGGTGCAGAATTAATTACTACTGTACCACTTTTCATTTTGTGAAACCAAATTGCTCTACATAGGGCACCGTTCGGCTTTGTTCATAGCCCAAATAGAACCCAAAGTACATATACGTACCCTATGTACTAAGGTAATGGATATTTTGATCTCAATTAGAGACGTAATGCTTTTGGGCTGTCCATGTTAAGATGTCTTCATTGCTGTCTGAAATGGACATATTTCTCAGATGAACGAACAGTATGAAGGAGACTCCCCATGTTACCAAACCAAATCAAGACGTAGACTGCATAGTCCACACTTCCTGTATTTGCTTAGATTATATTCTAAGCTTTTCCTAATTACCTTAATTGAAACAGTCTGGAATGGGTCTGGTGACTCAGTATAAGAAACGTTATTTGAGGAGATTTTTATTTTCTCTCCTGCAATTTAAAAACGGACACAAATATGAATAGGGAAGGCGACTTGTTTTTGTAGCTCTGTTTTATCTACAAAATATATGCAGATTTCCTTCATAATCATCACCAGCGGCATATAGTTATTGCCACATAACCATCAATGATAAACATACCTGTATTCTTCTTCCTCCTTCGAGTTCTTTTTAGGTTGGTATTTCTTCGAAAGATTCCTAAAACAAAAAGGCAGACATGTCATCTTATATAGAAGAATAATCGAGAAATCAGGAATGAAAGATGAAGTTAGTGCATTTGTTTACAAGTTAAAAAAAAAAAACCACAACATGTCCACGGCTGAAACCCATTTATTTCCTTCCTTCTTTCAACATGAAGGACTAGCATAGCTTTGAATCTTTTACCTGAAGGGAGAGCAAATGAGAACAGAAGTGGTCGCCAGCTGGTCACTTAGCTGGATGTTAAGACCTGACGTTATTTAACTGGAGAGAGCAGACGACGTGTTCCTACGTGTTTGCAGCACTGAGCTGAGGGCAGTTTTTCCCTACCAGGCCACCGTTCCTTTATGATCACACTCAGTCAGACATTCTTGCTTTGAATCCAAGGCAAGCATACGGACTGGGTCCAAATGCTTAAATTAAAAAATCAAAGTGCCGAAAAAATTGGAAAAAAGAAAGAAAGAAAGAAAAAGAAAAGAAAAGAGAAAAAGGAAAAAATAATTCAAGTGCTAAGGACATGTTTTCAAGGCTGAGTGGCTTCTCTCCCAAAGAGCTAGTGAAAGCTACCTGTGAGTATGTCTTCTCGAAGGCAGTAGAGACAATTTTGTGGGGACGGTCATGCTAAGACATTTAATGGGAACTTTTCACCTGCCTAGCAGGCTTGCACTGAACACACTCAGATTAGCCCAAATCGCCCTAATTTCTCTTCCTAATCCCATCTCCAGGTCGAGAATCCAAATACTCTCCTCTACATTCTGCATGTTTAAATTCACGCAAAAACTCAGAGGTGCTCTTGAAAAAAGAAATCTCACTAATGTTGGTTGCACTGGCTGATTTCTCTGGGGTCCTGATTTTCGCTTCTGTAGTTAGCAGAACAGCCGTAGGCGCAAATGGTCCACTGTGGGACTCTTCATTTGACAGCAGCTCAGTACTCACTTCCCTGTTTATTCCATGTTGCTATTCCTCTTTGATAGAGTAGCTACTTTCATTATTTCACATTTTAATTTCTTTCATTTCTCTTAAATCTACAGATTTGCCTAGAAAAAATGGGCAATAATAAATTTACAATTTTGAGCAAGGTACATCTTACAAAGTGAGATGTGAGTTCATCTCTAACAGGTGTTACTATGTGACACAAGATGCAGTGGACTTTGGTACAAAGGACGTTGCTCTGGGAATCCAGAGGCCAAGTGCCTAGATGGTGTAACCTTGGACAAAAGCAATGAGCACGTCTGTGTTTCCAGTTCCTCATCTGTAAATCTGAGGTGGGTGGATGGAATGACCACTATTGTCCCTTAAAGTTTAGAAATTCCAAGCGAATACACATCACCCAATAAAATAGTGATGGTGGCAATTACTTTAAAATGAAGGCATGACTATCTAACAATGAAATGTACAATTAGACAAAACGATGAAAGAAAAACGTACTTGCTTGGAGGTTACTATCACGTGAGCTACATTTAAACTATGTCAGCTTTTCTCTACTGATACTCTGGGTACATATCGAAGTACATATCTACTAGATCTAGATCCAAAAGAATGTGAAAAAGCACTATTTCCTTAAAGAATGTGCCTTTGGAGAAAAAATAATGCAAAAGAGAGAGATCTTGTATACTGAAAGCACAGTACAGTTCTTTGAGTTGGCTTCCTAAAATCAGTCCTTAAAAAAGGTAGATTTAGGAAAAACAAATAGCTCCTATTTACATGTACCCGGAATGAAAGGGACCCATGGAAAGCAGATGATTAGATAACCAATAACTTCTTTTCCAAATATATTTAGGGTAGCAGATATAGGATTTGGAGTACTGAAAAGCCTAGAGGTTGCCTGTGAGGCATTTTTAGTGGATGGTTTTCAATATTAACCATTTCTTCTATAAATTACAAGTGGAAAACCCCACTTTTATTTTTTTTCTTTCTTTTATTGGTGTGTAGTCAGTTACAATGTGTCAATTTCTGGTGTACAGCACAATGTCCTAGTCATGCGTATATATAGATATATTCATTTTTATATTCTGAAAATTCCACTTTTAAATTCACATCTTACTTAAAAACTCTTCCAGAACTGTTATTTTAACAGTTTATTGAAATACACATTTTCTTTTTAGCTTCCAGTCCTTAGCAGCCATAAAAGTAAATTTTGTATCTAGTTGAATAGATCCAGGTAAGACTACCACTCTTCTTAGTTCTATTTTACCAGTCAAATCTAAGGACAAGTAAAGACCTGTTGTGGGTGATCTTCTCTAAAGACTGTCCAGTTCTGATGAACGAGTATCACTTCGACAATGTTAGCATATACAGCATTCAAAATGCTTCTTAAAAGCATCAATGAATAATTCACTCAAAATGCCAGCAGAAAACTAAAAGCTTAAGAAGTCTAGAAGGGAGCTGCAGATCTAAGGATATTTCTCTCAGGGAACAACACTACAAAAAAAGAAAGATCAACTTTCATTTCTATTCTCTGGAGATGGGCTTTCTCATCCTATTTGTATGAGGTTATTAAAAAAAAAAACCCTGCAATTGTAACTTACTATACTTCAATTTAAAAAAAACAAAAAACAAAAAATAAACAAGCAATCAAATAAGCCACAAAAAGCATCTCTAAATTTATGGACTCTTTCTAAGAAATTTCAAGTGTTTTATATTTTTGCTCTTTAGATAGGCTAATTAAAAGGTAAGAGGGAAATACGTATCTTTTAATAAGGATACTGGGCTTAAATTTGGTTGATCCTAAGAGCTGCAGGGAGCCTTTTAAAAAGAAGATGCTTCAGGGAACTATGTTCAATATCTTGTAATAACCTTTAATGAAAAAAAAGATGAAAATGAATATATGTATGTACATGCATGACTGGGACATTGTGCTGTACACCAGAAATTGACACATTGTAACTGACTGTACGTCAATGAAAATTTTTAAATTAAAAAAATAAAAAATAAAATAAAAAGGAGATGCTTGGGCCCCATTCCAAACCCTTTAAAATGGAAGGTCCAGGGGTGGACCCAGGAATTTTTTGTTTTTTTCTGTCTTTCCTTTATAGTTTTAAAAGCTGACCACAAGATTTCCAGATAAAGATGGCAAAATGAAGTCTGATCAGGGACTTGTGCTTTTCCAATGAGAGGTGAAACATAAAAGCCAGGAAAATTTTTCAACAGCAGAAAATAAACCAATGAAGAAAGGAGCATAACTCCAGTCTCCACACTTACAGAAGTGGGGACCAGGGAGAGGGACAGGAGATCCTGGGACAGTGAGGGACAGATGCTGACCCCACCCTCAGAGTCAAAGCGGGGGAAGTAAGTCCACAAAACCCTGAAAATCGATTCAGGCAGAAGGAAACTGAGGGATGAGTAAGTACCTAGGGAACACTGACAGAAAAGCTCTGGGAGGAAGACATGCAGGTTGACCACCCAGATTCCAAGACTTGCCAGGAGCCAGGGCTGGCCCCCAGGGTGCCCACTTCCCAGGGCTCCAAGCTGAATGGCTGGGAGGAGATCACCCCAAACCTAGAGATTCCAAAGGCACAGGAATGTCAAAACAGAGCCTCTAAAAAATTTTCAGAAGGGACAACAGAACTCAGTCTCAAAGACAAGATGTACAAAACCAGGCGCTTTGAAACTGTGCCCCACGGGGTTAATGGAAACTGGTGACTAACAGAAATTCTTGAGCTTGTTAAAAATCCCTCCACATGTAACCTGCCTTCGCCAAGCAAGCTTGCTTTAATTGTTGCTGCAAAAGGCTTGCACGTCCTCCAAGCATCACGCAGCCCAAACAATCAGATGTTTGCCTGAGTTGTTTTCTAGGACTTGGAGTCAGTTGTGTCTAGCTCGAGCTCAAGCCAGCTAAGACTGGCTGGGACCACCGGCCCTAAAACTGGACCTGCACAGGTGTCCAGTGAATGGTCTTTCGATGTCAAGAGGGCCAAAAATTCCACTCTCAGATCATGCTAGGCACCTCCATTCTTGAACATGCAGCCTTTGAAGAAGTAACCCAGATACATGTGCATAGGACACTGAGGACCTCCCCTTTTCCCTACCTGCAATCACCTTTCTCCACACCTAAGACCACCCTGCTTCTTTATCCCATAAATATCCCAAGCCCCTTCCTTCCCAGAGGTGGACTTGAGACTTTTTCTCCCATCTCCTCATTTGGCTGCCTTGTGATTAAACCCTCTCTCTGCTGCAAACCTTGGCATCTCAGTGTTTGACTTGCTGCATGTCGATAAACGAATCCAGTTTGGTAACATTTTCCACTACCCTTACCCTATAATGGAGCTCAGAGGGAAAGACCAGTGGTACCAGAAGCACAGCAACATTCTGTCAGGTCAGATGGGGCACTGGTGTTGCTGTTAGTAACAAAAACATGCGTAGGCATCAGCCTAAGAGGTTTACATGCTTTATCTCATTAAGTCCCCTTAACTTATAAGGTGGGAATTATTATTAGTCTTATTCACCTATCACAGAGGACAAAGACAAAGCACAGAGAGTGATTTGCCCCTAATCACACTACTATTAAGTGGAAGAACCATGCCAGGCAGTGGGACTCTAGAGCCTGTAACTCGTGCATCACTTCACCAAACTACCCATATGAAATACAAGGAAGGTGAAAAGGTGTGGTATGTAATACAGAAGAGAAGGAAGGAAGGAGGGAAGGAAGAAAGAAAATGACAGAGAAAAACCAATCTGGAAGGAAACACACAAGGAACGAAGCAAGCCCAAGCTCCTCCAGGATATTCTACACTTAAGACAAACTTAACACAAACGCAAAGCCAATAAAGCAACAGTCCCTGGACCACAGGATAAAACAGAAGGGGAAGAAAAGGAAGGCTGCAAAGCTAAGAAAATGAACTAGGAACTAAAACATACTGCATCAGAGCTAATAAATAAATGATGCTGGATATCAAATTTAATAGAGGAAAGTTTCGAGGTAATCAAAATGTGGAAAGCAATTCTCATAATCAGAAAAAATAAAATAAAAAAGACCTAAAGAATAAGATGGCATAACACAA